TCGATTTCTTAATTTTAATTCCGAACTTTTCATTCCTTACAATCAAATAACACCATAGGGATTTAAAGATTTGGAGCTTAAGATTTTGCAAGTAGAGAATTAGTTTTGATAGAATCTTTCAATTATTTTTTAAATATGAATATTTAAAAATAATTGAAAAATTATGTCAAAACCAACTCTCACATTCTCTCTATTTGTAAATATTGGTTTAATAATTTTTTTTTTTTTAAGTTTTGCTTTTCAAACCTAGACACTCGGTTTTTAAGACTCTTTATATCACGTGTTTATTCGTAATTGATTATCTTTAAATTTGATGTATCATATCGAATGAATGGTTGAGAAAGTTTCAATCAAGATAAAACGAATAGAGAATATCAATTAAAAAAAATTTGAAAAATACAAAAACCAAATGTAAGATAAAATCATTTATTTCTTATTACTAATTACTATAAATATTGAAATGTATATTACTTCATTTCCTAATTTCAACATAGTGCTATTAAAAAATATGTTATATTAACAATCAAATGAAATAATTTAATCAAAATTCCTCAAATTATGTAAAATTTCAAATTTTAACATGAAAAAACTTAATTTGGATAAATGAACAAATTTATTTATTAATTTATAAACAATCTAAAATAACTTTTGGGATCCATAAAATATGTTAAACAATTGAATAATCCATGTGTGAAACACGTATCAAGAAGATTGGTTTAAATAACAGTGTGACATTATTAGTGTAAGTATAAACCAAAACAAATAGTGTTGTAGTCTTATGTAAATATTAGTTTCTGGATTGAACTGTGTTTTTTTTTTAATCAGATTCTTTCCTACCAAACAGTGGAGGGATTAAGTTTTGAACTTAAGGGCTTATATTTTCTGTTTAAATGATTTTCTTGGAGCACAAATATAAAATGCAAGGCTAATAAAACAACGATTCAGCTTTTTAACTGCTATAAACAAGAAGGGAATAACAATATATTATAAATCTACCCCCCAAAGCATGCAACTCTGTACGCTGGAGATTAAAATGATTTCGATACGCATAAAATCTCTGGCCATATCTTATGATGAGCATGCCAACAAGAAACAAATCTTGTGGGAGCCGTGAAAGTATCCATCTCGTGCTATATATTTCATGTTTTCCTAGATAAATATATCATTATCTTCACGTGTTCCCAGCCCAGCAAGGTCGCCAATTTTTTTTTCCTTTTTAACTTGGTTTAAATGATAGTATAATCCAGCTACAGAGAGTCATCAAATTACAAATCTTCATTGAATCATGCACTAAATACTCAAAATCTACATGGTGAAACTACAGATCTTGCAAATTATAAACTAATTAAATACTCAAAATCTAGAGCTGGATATAGGTTTAGGATCATAAAACATAAGAAATGTTAAGGGGTTTTGGTTAGCATGCCCGAGGTTATTTTTTTGGTGGTGCATGCAGTAGCTAGGGCCAAACCCTATCTTGTTCTTCTAATTAATCAGTAATTAAGCACAAGTACGTTGTCCTTCTAATTAAGCCACATATTAGTTAAGCTGGTTCCAGTAATTCGGGCATAATTTGAGTTTGAGCAGATCATGAGAGACAACTACATTTTGACCATACATAGAATATGATAGAACATAAGGAATATATGTCGTCAAACATAAGGGTCCATCCATCCACAAGCATTATATGTGCGAGCAAATGCTCATGGCTAAACACTACCTGTGCTAGAGTATGTCCCTGCTAAAAACACGTGGGGGTGTCATGAGGCCTTTTAGACCTACCATTGTTCTTCTAATTCATATTTCTTTTCTTAGTGTAAAGCCTTTTGGAACTAGCAAGAATGAATATTCCAGTTCCACTTTTAAGAGTTCTGTTATGGTTTAATTATATACTTTTTTCTCATCACAAAGTTCATGCATATATTCACACACTAAGGAAACAAGGATCGAGACTTGATGAATATATGTGGCTAAGTTGGGGTACTTATCCCTTGATTTCGTTAAAGAGCTTGCTTTTGTTGAAAAAAGTCACATTACAATTGAATAGAAAATGATCATCCAATGTTTTCAGGGTTTGAGAGAGAGAGAGAGAGAGAGATTATAAGTATTTTCTAAATCTCCCACATGGGTTGATACCCCATAGACTAGCCAACCACCCTTGGAATGTAAGGCCAAAGAGACTCCTGAAAAGATTTCCCTAACTAGAACTATAACCAATTATCCAAATCACAAGCCGCAAGTGAAAACAAAAACATTTGAATCTTTATATTCCATTAATTGCAATATTATTTTTGAGATCTCGAGTCTTCTCTATATTTTGAGGAAGAATAAAATCGTTAAATATAAAGCCTGTTTGGAAACTCAAATAAAGTCAAAATCAGGTTAATTGCTCATTGCTTGGTTAGAAAGCAAACCGAATTAATCTCAGAAATTTAAATGCACAATTGATTAATTTGATTGCATAAACTTTCTTGAAGAAGATGATTTGATATGATCTCTTTTGAATGTATGCATGCTTCTTCAGGTAGTAGTTGTAATTGGCATATCAACGTTGTTTGAAAGAATAAGCTCTTTTAGTGGAAAAATAATTTTGAGGATATTCTATAAATGAGAGAAAAATAACTAGAGTGACCCAAATATTTGATTCCAACTCTTTACTTAATAATATAATAGATAACAAAGATGTTGAAAGTCGAATCTTAAGTTACTAAATGATATGGGTAAACAAAAGTCTCATGGGGCAAGCTACTGGCTACTATATTTTATTGCAACATTAGCGTGAGTTAAGTGTTAGGATCACTCTATTACTGTCCTTAACGAAAAAGGCAAATGTTATATGTATGACTGTAAGTGTTGTTTGGTAATAAAAGAATAAAATAGTGGGGATGAAAGTAAAAATTTATTTTTTATTTTTTAGGTATTTAGTGAAAAGAAATAAAGTGAAAACATGAACGAAGAGTATGAATAAAAATAAAAATTAAATACAATTTTATTCTTAAGGAAGATGTAGGAATAAAAACAAAAAATAAAAATAAATTTTTTTCCTTTAAAATAATGATATATTATTTTAATTTATTATGTGTATACTATTCTACCACTATCTTCACTTTGTCCATTGACACCAATACAACATCACCACCACCATCACTATTGATGGTGGTGATAAAAAACTCAAAAAAATTATTATCATTATTATTATTATTATTTTGTTAAAATACGTATCTCATATTGAAAAGATAAATAAAATATAAGTAATATATAAGTATGAGAAAGAGTCACTCATCATAAGGCTTAAGTTTTTTTTTTTATAGAAATCAATTTTAACTATCCAATTCTATATGATATCAAGTCACATGTCAAAGATGATTAATAAATAAAGTTTATAGAGGTCATCCATTATAAGGTTTAAGTTTTTTGAAAAGAACCTAATCTTAAATGTCATATACTTCTCAACTATTATCACCACTCTCTTTTCAACTCTTGGTAGGATGATGACATCATTTTTTAAAAAGAAATATATTATTGTTATTGCTATTATTATACTACTAACACTACTTCATTTTTCACCATAACCATAATCATCTCTATTATTTTTACTATCATCATAATTGATAAAGTTATTTTTTAATTATTATTATTATTTATTTTTAAAATCAAATTAATATTAAAAATTTTAAATTTTATTTCAATTTCTTAATATTATTTCAAACATAATATTGGAATAAAAATAACTTTTTGATTTTTTAAATTCATTTGGATTCTTGCATTTTTATTTCAATTTTTTCATTATTAATAACCACACCACGTATTAAAGTAGTTACAAACAGGTGAATTCAATAATTTTGAACCTCCAATTGTTGGGTTAATTGTTTATGTCCAAATGCTTTGATTTTGTGTTCAAATTAATTTAGTGACACTACCAAGAGATATGGTCTAACAATAAAGAGGTTTACATTAAAATTAATGTTTAATTCTCATTATGCACAAATAACTAGCTATAACTTTTTTTTAGTGGTACTATATTTTGGGTTGATTTGGTTTTAAAAAAATCTAATAGTTGATGAAAAGTTAAACATATTTTGACGATGATTTAAGTCAAAAAATAAGAGATTTAATATCGCTAGATTTATTCAAAACTAATTCAAAAATACCTCAATAAATATGTATAATTTAGTAACATTCTGTTAAATTTGAATCACATGTTACACGTATGAAATGGATACTATATATTTCCGATTCAAATTGAACCCATTATTACTAAATCCATCACTGTGACACAAAGTATTGTTTTAGTTTAAATAAAGCCAATGTAGATAGCAGTCATTTATTCTTGACCTTTTCATTCTTTTGAGTAATATGTGAGTGTATTTGCAAATATATGAAAAGCCCTTGCCAGAAAGCAAAGGGTGAAAAGGTCCGTTACACCAAAAAAAAAAAAAAGTTATAATAATAAAAATCGGTGACAAGATAAAGAAGGGTCACATTGCCAGCATCTTGGTCTGCCTCTCTCTTAACGTGGGGTTAGTCTCCCAAATGAAGCCCTCAATTGACGATTTCCAAACTTAGTCTTAAAGATGCTTAGATGCAGTTTAGTATTCCAAATCAGAGAACTCTCTAGGTCATAAAAAAGACCATATTTTTCTTCAAGGACCAACTCCCCATGTGATGTGATTGTGTTTGGCCCGCTAATCAAGCAAGCGTGTTAACATGCACCCAACCCCATGTGCTTTAGGTCCCCTCATAAAATTAGCATAAGAAACTATGCTGCCCATAATATTATACTACCTACCATCTGTCATCATCTCATTTGCTTTGGGCTACATAATGTCTTCATATATATATATTTTTCGTATACCAAGGGCGGCTTGTATTTTATTCCCAAGCTGCTTTCGTTCTAATACATGCTTCTGCCACTATATAACTGGCTAATCTCAATCACTTTGTCTTCACGGTTGAGTTTGTTGAGAGAAAGTAAGAGAGCAAAAAAGAAGTCAGCAAACATGATCAAGTTAAGGTCAAAGAGGTTTTGTAAGGGCAGCTTTAAGCTTGGTTGTAATGGTGGCGGCGGTGGTAACACTACTAATGTCAAAGGAAATGAAAAAGGGTCCTATGGAGTCATTAATAATGGTGAAATCAAATGGGAACTTAGGCCTGGTGGCATGCTTGTTCAAAAGAGAGAGAGTGGAGAGAGTGTTGGAGAGTTAATCAAAGTGAGGGTCTCAACTGTTTCACAATGGCATGACATTTCCATTGAAGCAACTTCAACATTCGGTAAGTTATATATCTTAGGTCTTAAGCATGAAAGGACTAGGTCCCTTTCCCCTATTCACCAATGTATATATATATGTTCATTCTCAGGATTAATCTTTATATTTTTCATTCATCAGGGGAATTGAAGATGGTACTGTCATTGGTAACTAGCTTGGAGCCGAAAGAACAAAGGCTACTGTTCAAAGGAAAGGAGAGAGACAATAGTGAACACTTACACATGGTTGGGGTTAGAGACAGGGACAAGGTGCTCTTGTTAGAAGATCCAGCTATCAAAGAGAGGAAGCTTCATGGCTTGGCAGGAGGCCAACCCATTGGGACTCCTTGTCGTACCATACGTGTGTAATATACTAACTACTAATTAAAATTAAAAAGCATATTATCAATCATTGTGCTACTAACCACCAAAAGAATAGCCACAAGTAATTTATGGCGATGGCTTTCTCCTCAGTACTTGGTTAGATTAGTGAGTGACTTAATCAGTTAATTAAGGATTAGTTGTATTATTGTGAATTTAATATGAGGAAGCTGATGCATCTCCAAGTCATTTTGCATAGCTTACTATGCTTATAAAACTGTTGGTTTCAGTTCATTAACACTATGATTGTGTTGGTCTCTTTCAATAATTTACGTAATTATCCATGCGTGCACGCCGACAAACATGTATATATTGATGCAATAAAGCAAAATGTGGGTCTTAAAAGCTTAAAGACAATGCAGGGACACAGCGCAGGCAGTTTTGTTGTTTCTCAAGGTTATAATGCTCAAGCCAAAAGGAAGGATTATCTATCAAATCCATAATGAGCAAATATTGGTCCGATGCCCATAATGATTTGAAGTGTTGTAATAAAAATATGGTTGTGCACATGCGGATTGCAATGGTCCATACTCGCATTCTTGTACTTCTGCCTAAACGGCGAATAGGGTCCCATGACCGGGGTTTGATCTCTTTTGTGTTGGAAAAGCTAGCCAGTTGAATGTATGTAGGAGAAGGAAAAAAAATTATTTTATCTCTTAAGGAAAAAGAAAGCGAAAGAAAAGAAAAAGAAATTAGAAAATGAGCAAAATAAAAGAACAGGCTGGTCTGGACAATCCAGGCATGAGCACCATGGGCCATTCACCAAGGCCCGACATGTTTTGCTAAGTCAGTCCAGGCCCGTTCAATTAAAGGAGTTTTTTTTTAAGTGAAAATCTTAAACCGACCTCGCAAGAACCCATGTAAATACATTATTCATTTTCCATATTGACAAGCACAAACAAAATCTTATGTCGTAGGGGAATGTCAAGACAGACGAACTACAAGGAAAGAAAGGATAATCAAAATAGAGTCGTTATATCACACTTGGTTTCATCCTAAAACCTTGCAATTGATGGCTTCTCTAGATTTTTTCTTCTTCCCTGTTTTTTTCTCTTTTTTCCTTGATTTTTGTCCTGTTATTTTTCTTCCTCCTTCCTTTTGCCAACCTAGATGGCCCTCTTTTCCTCTTCATTTTCCAGATTATTGCTTGCTAGAATTAGTCTCCCAAACTGAATTTAATTAATCCCCTAAATTGCTAAAATTTTACACTTTAGTCCTTAAATTTTAATTAGTGCAATCACCCCCTCCAATTTCAATTTGTAACCTCTCAATTTCGCATAATTTAGCCCTTATTCTAGACCTTTCTTAGAGTAATTGAATACCTAAAGTTTTCTAATTATTTTAGTTAAGTACTCAAACTTTTAATTGTTACAATTATACCGCTAAGGTTTTGAGATTACACTCGCTAAGTTTTTACACAACCACAACAATTAATGTCTCAAGCCTCTAATTGAACTTTTAATTAATTCATTCACCTTTCAATTAATTCCTCCTTTATCTTCTATACTAATTTCGTATGCATTAATTTATTCTTTATATAAATATAAATTATCATTTCGTATTTTAAATAATTATTCATTCGCTAATTAAGTCATTCATATAAGCATATTTAAGGAGGTTTTAGGTCAAGGATATTACAACTCTTCTGAAATTTTGTTAGATTTTTAGAAAAAATATGGATAAAACCTTAGAGTACTTGTTGGTGCAGTGGTAACTAAGTAATTGTATATTGACTCGTACATGTAGCAAAAAAAATAAGGTGAGTTCATACATGGATCGACTTTAGGCTTATCATAGGAATTTTAAATCAAAATTTTGTGATTGTGGTTGAAGAATTTGTTGTATTCGTGTACCCCTTTGATCGGACTATCTTTTTTTATATATAGTTTTTTTATTATTTTCATATACTAGAGCATATTTGTATATATTTAATTTGATTTTATATTATTTTTATTTCACACAATAATATTTCATGTTATAATTTTATTTTTAATTATTTTCTACTATAGTTAATCTTTAAATCACTAATAAAGAATATATATATATATATATATATATATTTTCCTTCATTAGCGAAGGAAGTACTTCAATATAGTGATAGCTTGTCCGTCATTAAAATTAATAGCGATAGTTGGTAACTTCCATTGTTACAACTATTAGCAACGGAAGCACTTCAATATAGTGACAACTTATTTGTTGCTAAAATTGTTATCAACGAGATGACAACTTACATCGCTAAAACTATTAGCAACGAAGCACTTTACTATAGTGACAACTTCGTTGTCCCTAATTATTAGTGACAAGATTTTTACCTATAGTTTGGTTTTGATGTCATTCCATTGCTAAAAAAAAAATAGGGACTACATATATAGGTTCAGCGATGGAATTTTCCATCACTAAAAACTTATTTTTTTATAGTGATATTTGTTTAAAAAAGGTTATAAAAATAACCCTATTTATCAATTGTTTTTATAAAGAAATCCAAAAACGAGTTTGTGGTAATTGTTATATATATTGATAATTTAAATATTATTGGTACTCTTAAAGAGACTCCAAGTGTCATAACTTATATAAAAAGAGAATTTGATATGGAAGACCTTGGCAAAATAAAATTTTATCTCAACCCGCAATTCGAGCACTTAGAGGATGAGATTTGTATTCAACGGTCAACTTATATAGAAGTAGTTCTACAATGATTCTAAATGAATAAGGCTCATCTATTGACTAGCCAAATGGTAGTTCGTTTACTTAAAGTCTAGAACGACCTTTTTCAGCCTTGATAAGGTAATAAAAAATTACTTAGTTATAAAGTACCATATCTTAATGCAATTGATACATTGATATATCTTCGTGCAGTTGGTACATTGATATATCTTAGTAATAATACTTGAGTTGCTATAGCTTTTTCTATAAATATAATAGCAAGACATGTTCTACTCCGATATGAAGACATTAAAATGGAATTAAACATATACTACATTATCTATAAGAATAAATTGATATGGTATTTATTTTACTCAAATAAATCAAAGTTCGGTTATTTATTTGATCCATACAAAACTTAATCACAAACTCGATTATGTAATTACACATAGTGATACGACTACATCATGACGTTTTATAGAGCAAACTATTATTATTATATCTTCAAACCATGTAGAAATAAAAAAATTCATGAGGCACGTTAAGAATGTATTTGGGTAAAATCAATGACCCATTATATTAGAAAGACGTACGGTTTATCCACTAATAAGAAAGTTCTAACAATATTATATGAAGTAATATTGTTTGTATAACTTAATTAAAAGGAGAATACATCAAAAGTGACAAATCAAAATATATATCACTAAAATTATTTTCACACATGATCTTCAATGAAATGATGATATTAATGTTCAACCAATTCGATCAAGTAACAATCTAATAGATTTGTTCACTAAGATATTACATCCCACAACTTTAAAAAGAAGATTCATAAAATTGAGATATATCACCATAAAGATTTTAAATAACATTTTCAACAAAAGGAGTCCAAGCATGAGAATTAATACGTACAAAAAAATATTATACTCTTTTTTCTTCATTATTTTTTATCCTATTGAATTTTTTTTCTATTAAGGTTTTAACAAAATATGTTCTTGATACGAGTTGACATTCAAAAGAAAATATTATAAAATAATCAATATTGATGACCATCCATACTTCCTCTACTAATTATATTCTATAATGAGATTCAATTTATCATTATTACGCATGATGACATAAGAATTGAAAACTTAGTGTGTTTGATTCAACTTTTCATGATTTTTTTTTAAAGTCCTTTCCAATTCTGTTCCAAATCTAAAAATTTATAAATAAGATTGATGGTTTATTAGTAGAATGAGTGTTATTGTAGATATTGAGAAAATTAGTCTGAAGTTGCTACCACATAAATTCACTTTATTTTATAATAAAATTATTTTTCTATTATTTTTTCTTCAATTCCTTTACTATTATTATTATTATTATTATTATTTCAACAGGCTGATCATAGTGCGCTATCAATATATTCATTTTGAATGCAGACATTATTAAGTACGGTTTTATATGAAACTGTGGCTGCTGGTATAAAAACGAGTTCTTAATGGGCTGTATAAATTTGATGGATCTAGCTGTGTGTGTAAAAATAAAGTCGTCTCTTTAAAAGAACTAGACAGATCTTTTTTTTTTTTTTAATTATTATTATTATTATTATTCTATTTTATTTTGGAGAACTAGAGAGTTCTTTAAAGCACTCAAAAACATGCATATAAAATGCACGTCCTATTTATGCCACTCCGTTAAAAGAAAAAATCTTTTTATATATAGTTATAGATATTCTCTCCAGTAAAAATCTTTCGAACTTAAAAAGTTGTGTAAATCTGTTTTACTCTAACATGTACCATTAAATTTAAATTAGAGTAGACAACAGGAGAGTCAGTGTAAGTAAGATGATCCATTAGTTAAAAGAGAAAATAATATGATATAAAAAAATCACTCAAAATTTTATATTATATAGGCATGTAATAGGCAACAGTTTAAAACTTAAACGCAAAAGAAAAGGAGCAATATTTATTTTTCTTAATCAAACTAATTAAGCTTAGAATTCTGATAGAAAATTATAAACCGCACAGAAAATGATTCGAACCAACATTATTTTTCCTCCTTTTTCTTATATATACATGAAGCATACATATAGATGAGACCAGATTACATCAAACGCCCAGGAAACCAGATTAACCACCGATTCACCATTAAAAAAAAAAAAAAAAAAAAAAAACCACACTTTCTTTTTTATTCAGAAATTAACCATACTCTGAAGCAAACCAGAGGTAAACACTCATTTCTCTAATTGAAGAATCACACAAATGCTTCACTTTCACTCTCAACCCTTTATTTCCTCGATCTCAATCACCCTCTTCTCTGGTTTCTTGACCTCCTGTTTAGGGACAGTAACCACAAGTACTCCG